AGCTCAGAAACAACAATCAAGAATCGATTCTTGGTCTGAATCAGCAGGAGGTGTAAAACATGAGCCAACATTCAGTGTCAAGGGGCGTCAAACTCAAACCTCGCTCGATACTTGGTCAAAGGCTGGAGATGGTAAAACATATGAGCCAGTCATTACTCAATCCAACAAAGCCTCTCAGGCACCATTTACCCTTTCTGAGCATCATAAGAGTATTATGGATAAAATGAGAGCACAGCCATCCCTAAAGACCGCCAAAGCTACTGAGGATTGGAAGGATAAACGCCGAAGAGATGAAGAAGAGAAAAAGAGGCGTAATGCAGCAGCTATTGCTCAAGCGAAAGCCCTTCGTGCTCCAGCAGCCTTAGTGAAGGGTGAGGGATCTGGTCTGAAAAATCTAAGCGGTGTAGCAGGTAAAGATCATGCGCCTGTTCGAAGTGAGATAATGGTAGGATCTTCAGACGAAGATTCGGATGATGATGATGACGATGATGGTTCCGACACGAAGTTTCTTTTCACCAAAAGTCGAGAGGCTTCAAACAAAGTCAGAGAATACGAGGAGAGTAGAAAAAAGGCACTTCTACAAGCTACTGGTCCAGTACGAAAGACCAAGAAGGTTTACTCAAAGAAAGATCTTCGTGCTCGTTTGGAGCCAAATATGGACATTATATATCTCGAGCTGCTCAATTGGGATATATTTCATGAGGGCGAGGATCCCCCAAGCAATAATGTTTGCAAAAAGATTGCAAACAGCTTTCTAGACCTCGGTCTCTATAAGGAGACATTCAAGCCGTTGCTCATATCGGAAGTTTGGCGCTCTTTACTGACAGCCAAAGAAGAGAATCAGTTCAAGCCCATTGAAATAAAGGTTCTCAATCGTTTGTCTGTTGATAAATTCATGGAAGTTAGTACAACTATGTCAATATCCAATCAAAGAGACCTCATGGTGTACCAACAAGATATTGTACTCCTTTCCAAAAGCTCGAATCCACTCCAAGACAAGCAAGCACCACATTGTCTAGCCCGCGTTTTTAGGACAACCCGCAAGCGTGATGCAATGGAAGTCACTTACAGAGTAAGCAGAGACATTAGCCCCGAGCTCTTAAATTGTTTCGTGCCCAACGGCAAGTTATATACTCTCAAAATCACCGATATGACGACAACTCTGCGAGAGTTTGCAGCCTTGAGCAGTCTTGAATACTACGACCTGTGCACTGAAATCTTGGAGGCAAAGCCTTCTCCTTTACAGAAATATTCCGATGAAAAGGTCGCTTCGATATCGACCAGGTATAAACTTAACAATGGGCAAGCCAAAGCGATTTTGTCCGCCAATGACAATGACGGTTTTACATTGATTCAAGGGTATGTATTGAAATTTGTTCCACTTCAAATGATATTGCTCTAATAGTACTAGTCCTCCGGGTTCAGGAAAGACGAAAACGATTATTGCCATGGTAGGCGCCTTGCTATCTCAGGTGCTTCAGCAGCAAGCACAGCAAGTGGGCTTCAGACCACAAGGCCAAAATCGCAGTGCGGGCGCTCAAGCACAAGCACAAGCACCAAAGAAAAAGCTACTTATCTGCGCTCCTAGTAACGCTGCTGTTGATGAATTGGTCCTCCGGTTGAAGGAGGGAATTTTGCCTCTCAGCGGCTCGCATCAAAAGATTAACGTAATTCGTGTCGGGCGAAGTGATGCGATCAATTCTAGTGTCAAAGATGTGACACTTGACGAATTGGTGAGGATCAAGCTTGAGGGGGACCAAGAATCTAAGAAGGGACAATTGAATGATCGGGAGATGCTTCACAGAGATGCAGGGCTTATCAAAGAGAGGCTCAACGTTTTAAGACCTGAGATGGAAAAATGCCGTGCTGCAGGTGACAAAACTACAGAACTCAAACTGCAAAGGGAATTCGATGAGCTTAAACGAAAGCAAGCTCACATAGGTAACAAGATCGATGAAGATAAAGAAAGCGACAACAAGGTGCGACAAAATGAGATCAGTAGACGCCATTTCACCCAGGAGATTATCGATGGCGCCCATGTTCTTTGTGCCACGCTCAGTGGATCTGGACACGATTTTCTAAGAAATGTCAATGTCGAGTTCGAAACAGTCATTATTGATGAAGCTGCTCAGTGTATCGAACTCAGCGCTCTGATACCTCTTAAATACGGTGCCACGAAATGTATCTTAGTCGGAGATCCTGAACAATTGCCTCCAACAGTTCTCTCACGATTGGCGAAGAGTTATGGCTACGAACAGAGTCTCTTCGTCCGCATGCAGCGAAATCATCCCGACGATGTCCACTTACTCGATACTCAATATCGTATGCATCCTGAGATCAGTCGATTCCCAAGTCAACAATTTTATAATAGTCGTCTTATTGATGGTGATGGAATGGCACAATTACGGGTGCAGCCATGGCACGCAAGTTCGATTCTCGGACCTTATCGATTCTTTGATGTTGTGGGTGTCCAAAGCAAAGAGGCTAGAGGCCATTCCCTCATCAACGTTCCTGAGTTAAATGCTGCTATTCAGCTTTATCAACGACTTAAGACAGATTACAGATCCTATGATTTCAAAGGCAAAATCGGTATCATAACTACCTATAAAGCTCAACTAAATGAGCTCAAACGACGTTTTGGTGCAATATTTGGAGACGAAATCTTCGAAGAGATTGAATTCAATACGACCGATGCATTTCAAGGTCGAGAGCGAGAGATTATCATATTTTCTTGTGTTCGTGCTAAGGCTTCAGGGGGTATTGGATTTTTGAACGATATCAGACGTATGAATGTAGGTCTTACTAGAGCCAAATCGTCATTGTGGGTTCTAGGAGACTCTAGAGCATTGGAACAAGGTGAATTCTGGAATAGGCTGATTCAAGATGCCAAAGGCCGTGAGAGATACACAAGTGGTGATATCATGGGATTGTTATCGAGGCCGACATCAAAGGATGCACCAGCGATAGACTATTCGAAGATGTCCTCAGACATGAATGGCAATAGCTATAGGCGTCCATCCGACAAGAGCGACAGCGATATCGATATGACGGATGCGCCGCGAAACCGAAGTTCTCGAGAATCTATTTCAGGTAGTAGTAGTAGCACGACATCGGTCGACGATAAGAATACACCAATCAACGTTGAGATGGGCGAGCAGAGGAAGAGACCTAGGGAGCAGGAACTTCACCCAGATAATACTACAGCCAAAAAGAAAAAGAAGGTAAGTCGACCGAAAGACTGGTTTAGTGCTAGTCGTGGTTTATGCCAACACGTTTTTATTTATTGACCCTCATAGACTCCAACGTCAGAAGCAGACCCTGCACCACCAGCTTCCGCCATGCTCAATCGAGGGCCAGTCGAACCTCAAAAATTAGATCTGGAAGCTGCGCTTCAAGCACAGCAGGCAAATAAAGCTGCTGCTGCCGCGGCGCGTACACCGAAATCTAATTTACCACCTCCGCCGCGTAGAAAGGCACCGGCGGACCCGTTTATTCAACGTAAACCACCAAAAAGAAAGTGAGGGTAGCATGAATTTATTTATTGATATATTCTTTAATGGTTAGGAAACTGCATAGTTTGGCGCAACAAAATATTAGCATGGCGAATGGCGCACGTGTGAGACAAGTGTATGCTGGTGGGAATTATCTTTTAACTAGTAGATCTGATAGATCTTAGAGAGTAGAAAATAGTTGCATTTTGGTGACCTGACTTGTGACAGCTTTAATAAATACTCGAAGAGAGCCATAATGGCGAGAAGATTCAATTGACATAGATCAATGAATCCTACAGAGTTCAAAGGGCTAACTCCGAGGTAAAATCTTCTTGTAGTTATCAACAATCAAGCCGAATGGTTTACTCAATAGTTTCCTTTGAAAGCCACTCAACTACTCTCCGCTACACCGGTAATTCCCCTGCGCCTTCTCGGCTCGTCCCCGTGTCTTGCAATTTTCGATATCTATCTCATTTGCATTCTCATTTCAACATACGTATCCGGAATTACCGTGTTGCTCCTAATATTGAGATTTCTGAATTCGGACTTTATAATTGAGAGTTTCATGATTACTTTACTTTGTTAATCATAAATCAAGAAATAATAATTAGCACGGACATAGGACATATAAATATTTACTCGGGCTTGAGAGTTGGGGCTGTAGATCATTCCTTGCCTTATCGGATATTTTTGTTCCCTGAATCGCTAAGAGTTTAGTGGGAGGGGTGGACTTCTAGTCTTGGAAAGATTAATGATAATTCTAATAATTCATGTGGGAATTTGGAATAATATTGATTGATTGTGTATTTGTATTGTAAATCGTGAAGAGAGGTATTTTTTCTGTACTCGAGTAGATGTCTGTCTTGACCCATTGCTACTTCAGATTCGGATCACAACCGAATGGCCACAATGATACAACATGATATGACGGCCATGCATGCAACGCCCCGCTATCATCAAGTCAATGTCCATCTGCCCATGACCTGCAAATCTCTAAAATCGACTCTTAGTGCCGCATTAGTCGGCGTCTACTGTGCCTGCCATTGATGCAATAAAACGCCATGAAGCCACCACTAACCTCCAATTGTTCAAAGTCGATATATTTTACCACGGGTTGGGAATCTTTTAGTTTGTTGATTGTTTAGCCAGCGTCCGCGCAACTTCGAGATGCAGGTGATTAGTTTCCTCCTTGCATTGCGTTACTAGGACGAATCTGAGCCACCAGCGTGGATATTCAAGTCGACCGAGCTACAATAATGGTAACGGCCTTTCTTACCCTTCAGCTAAGTTTTGCAACATTTTTCACTGTTCGGTATTTCCATCATGTTCATCTTCAAAGACTGTTTCGTAAGCTAGAGCTGCTTGAAGTGGTTCGATTTAAATACAGCTTTAAAAAAACGCTATGTGAGTGTGACGAACTATCAGTATGTCTTCTTCGAGAGAAGGTTCCCCGGTTACGGGAAATCACATATTTGTCTAACATGGTGCATGCTACAGATCACAATTAAAATGAATCCAGTAACTGATAGTGAAACTCCTCCACCGCGTTTGGTAGATATCACACCTCTAAGACCTCGGTCCATGGGAACACCCTCGTCTATCAATCCTACACTGTTATCGCGCCGCCGAACGAGTAGATCTCAGAATAATGGCACAATCGATACTGTACCAGAATTGAGAAGATTTAACAGTTCAGGTACCAAGTCGAGTGGAAGAACTAGACCTCGTCAAACGACTAGTCAAAGCTATGGATCTTTGGATACAACACCACCTGGACGTGAAAGAGAAACCATGAAAGATTTATCCGAATTTCTCATGTCTTATGATCCCCCGGCGCATAATCTAGTTGCGCTCCCACAAACCACCCCAAGAAAAAAGTTTGGTCTTCTCCGCAGGAAGCAAAAGAAGGAATCGAAGTCCACTCATTTTTTGAAACTCCCCGATACAGCTATTGCTGCAAAAACTCGTCAGGGCGTGCAGTATATAGCAATTTCCATACCGCTAGAGCATGACTACCTGGGGAGACTTCCGACACCTCCTGGGACGACTTCAGAATTGACACGGGTTCCAATACCGGATAGAAGCCCTGTTGTTATTCCCAAGCCAGGCTACAAAATTGGGGATTCTGCTAGACCTCCACCGGAACTTCCTGTACTTAGTAGGACTACTTCAACCTCTAATAGGAATACTTGGGGCCCAGGTACTTTAACAAAAGTAGTTACAAAACCAGGGTCGGAAGAGGTGATGCTGCAAAATAGATACATTCATCGAACTAGTCAAGTGTATACCCCTACTGGAAGCATTTACTACGATGCTCCAGAAACCCGACCTCGACCGCAGTCATCAAAAGTATTTTCCTCGCCCAGTCTTTCATTCAAAATAGCTCCAACAGATAATCCTCGAGCAAATTCTCTCAATTCCGTCAACCGTCCAATATTCTGGAGCAATAGATCCGACGGCCCCTTACGAGTGATAAATAGAACACCATCTCCCGATATCAAACCGACTTATCAGAGTCACAAAGTGATCAAATCAATATCCACTATTCATAGCATCGCAACTTCAGGAACAAATATCAGACACTCGCTAAAGTCTACACCAGATAGTTTTAATACGAACTCCTCGGCGCAAGCAGTGTTTGGAACTGCTGAGACGGTTGATCTGCAGAGTTTTAGAGGGACTCCAGGGCCTTCAATTGCTTCACCGGGAAGTGAGAATATACTCCAGTTTCCTGCAACTACTGAGGTGGAGGCAGAAAGTCCATGTAGGAATCAAGCGACCTCTTCCGTCGAAATTTCAACACCAATAAGTCCACAATTTGGCAGCAATGAGAATCAAACAGAACAAGCAACACAGCAAAGCCGTCGCGAGAAAGTACGAGCAAAGAGGAAAAAAGACTTGGCCTCTATTCGATCAAGAAACTCGAGTGTGCATCACACAAATACAAATACAAATACAAATACAAATACAAATACGGATACAAACCAAGCATCCATTCAATTGGTTCCAGAAACTTCTCCTACTGAAGTCGAACCTTTATCTCCACTATCATCAAATCCACCCTTTGGACCACCAAGTCGCTCTCTAAAACGTCTCGCTCAAAACCCGAATGAATTGTCTACAACTCGTACCATGCTCGTAGCCGACTCCCCGCCTTATGTTGAAGAATTAAGACAGTGTGATTTTGGAGCACGTCCCATATCGCCTGCTCTAACGAAGTCGCCTTCGAGACTCCCGAGACCTACATTTGACTCAATAACCTCTTTTTATCGAGTCGACAGTGAGGATTCAGCTTATACGCATCAGTCTACCCAGACTATTTTAAGTCATACTACACCGTTGGCGCCGACGACATGGTTAGGGAAGGAAAGGGATGGGAGAAATAGTAGTGATGGGTTTGGTTATACACGGATGGATTTCTCTTCTGATGAGGATTTGGAGTATTTGAATGGAGATAGACATGGAGAGCTGGATAGAAATATGGAGAGACGAAGCACGGGGGAGATAGGAACAAGTCTCCGATCGACAAGCTTGAAAGAAAAAGAATTGGATGTGCGAATGAGGATTGTGGAGAGACATACGGATGTGCTTTTACAGACGTTGGAAGGGATTGCGAAGAGTTTTGATGGGTTGGGAGCGGTGGGGAGATTGAGGTGGGAGGAGGTTCATGGGAGGAGTGGGGTGGGTGCGAGGAGTATGGGAATGGGAATGGGGTCCAGGTCGAGTGTTATTAGGATGAAGGAGAGTGATGGGGAGAGAGTGAATAGTATGGCGAGTGAGGGGAAGGGAAATAGGAGGAGAGCTAATACGACGGGGATGGGGGTGGAGAATAGGAACGGAGATGCGGATATAGATTTGGTGATGAGGGAGATTCGGATGGCGGCTCCAAGGGTTAGTGAGGAGGGTTCGAGGGAGAGGAGAGGATGAGTAAGTGAGTGATGGACTTGGAGTGTTTCTTTGAGAGGAGGAGGAAGATATTATAGTATTAATTAAATTCATCTTACCTTTGTTAAATAACTATCTAAGGGGTAGTTTGGATGTACAAATCCGGTCAGATTCCATCGAATAATCTAATCATTTTGAAAACAGATTCCTACTTTCCGTTTGAATATTAAATCACAGATTCTATTAAATAATCCTATGTTTAATATGTTTAATATATTGAATAAAACTAAAAATTTAATTTTCAAAAAATATATTAAACAACTCATTAAATAATCTACTCATTTATATAGAAAAATAAAACACAGATTTGAAAAAATTATTAGAAAAAGTAGTTATTATTTTCAATTAAACGAAAAATCTATAAATTTATAAATTCTTATAAGCTTTTAAAATTTAAAGCATTAGTATATATAGTTTAAAACTTCAAGTTAGAAAAGTCTAAAATTTTAAACTCTCTTTAAATTAGAGTTTAAATTTTAATTTCGATTAAATAAAGTTATTCTTATATGTATCTTAATTGAAATGAAGTTATTATTATATTTAATTATTAAATTATTTAAATGATTTTAATAAATTGAAAATTCGGATTTCTATATATAAAGATTTGTATATGTTATATATATATTTCGATTCTTCTTATTTCTATAGATTTTATATCAAAATCAATATATAAATAGAAAAACGGATTATTTAATGGATTCTGATCGGAATTGACATCCAAACGAGCCCTAATACTTAATCCATTTTCAATTACAGCCATCTTGTCAATCCTTTACTTACGTGCTTTCTCTCCATTTTCTCTTCCTCCTCCTCCTCCTCCTCCTCCTCAGAAACCCCTTTCCTTACGAATACCACAACTTACAAGAAAAATACCATTAACATCCACAACCATCCCAACATCTCCCTGCCCAAACACACATCATCCTCACCACATACCCTCCTCGCAACATCACCACAACCAATACCTACTCCAACTGCACAAAGCCTACAAATCCCAAGCCTCGAAACCGACTTTATCTTTCCTACATCTATCTAGGTTTCTAGTCTGTACTGTAACTAAACATCTACTCTGCTACTCATGACCCTTGGCCAGAATATAGGTAGGCATCTTATTCCATCCCAAAACCCACGATCTTTGGTGGACTTGTCTTCTTGATGTATTCCAGAAGAATGACTCCGCTCTCTTCTTCTACTCTTCTTCATCTCTCGTTTCTTTTTTTCCGGCATCCCTTTTCCTTCCTTCCTTCCTTCCCTCCTTCCTTTCTCAAAAGATCCGAATATCATTCTTAAATGTTATCCCCAAATAACCTTATAATCCCCCGTGCAAATCCAGCATCTAAACCCCCCCCCGCTCTCTCTCTCTCTTCCACTTATTAATACCAACAACCCAAAGAAATTAACCCTTCCCCGGAAATTCGGGTTCCCTTGTTGTTGTGTGTTTGCTTTGTTAATTAGTATCGAGTTTATTCCTACAATTGCAATTGCAATTGCAATTACATCTACATAAACATTGAATATTGAATTTGATGTGGATTGAGTTGACCGGGGAGGATAGAACAAGATATTCGGAAAAGAAGAACAATAGACAGAATTTCGAGGTGGAAAATAGAGGATATAAGAGAAACAATAAAGAAGAAATGATAAACGATACAGGTCTATTGTGCTTCTGTGTAGCACTTTATTATTAAAAAAGGAGGGGAAAGGAAGGTTTGAAGAGGGAAATGTAAGATGACAGTATAAGGATGAGATGGGATAAAGGTATGGAATGTATGGTATTTCGCAGAGTGGTTTTGTGAAGAGGGGAGGGGAAGAGAGGGAGGGAGGTTGAGGTAGGAGAATGTTATTTATGGGGTATGTGTAGAGGTTATAGGGTAAGCATTATTTGTTTTCGAAGTAGATCCAATGAATACCTCCACAAGTGCCATTAAAATTCGCAATAGATGTTCACATTTATACTGAAACACAACTTCACAAATCACAAATCACAAATCACAATCGAAAAACAAGACGTAGTGTAGTAATGTAGTGTATCATAACCATTAAACCTCCACTCCTTCCTTCCTCTCACACTCTCTCATCTCCAGTAACTGCAAGCGCGTGCGCTCGCAAAACCAAACATAAACTCATCTCCAGCTGCCCACCATCCCACCCATCCACCATCAAATTAAGAGAAAAGAAACCGGGTATCGAGTCGAATCGGAAAAAACAAAAATAGCTCTCCTCTCTCTCTCTCTTCCGCCCATCCATTCATGCATTCATCATCTATCATCCATCATCCATCAAACACCTCAGGTATCATAAAGCAAACTCGCATCTTCTATGCATCCTTCCCTATTCATCTCTCCAACAATACATAGATGATAGATCATGTAGAGAGTGTGAATACCAAGTACCCCTCATGCAACGGCAAGGGACCTTTCTAAACATGACTCGTCGTACGTCTACCTCTTCTCTTACCGCCGCAGCTTCCGCATGTCAAGCAGGAGATGAGGACATCGAAGAAGGCGACAATGGCATTGATGATACCGGTGAGAATGGCTCCGATTCCGTTGACGACGGCCATGAGACCGGCACCGATGGCGCGGAACATGCCTGTGATCTATGGGGGATGTTAGTTTGTATTTAAAAGGGTGGTTTTGGAGGGGAGTTGGTGGGATTTGTTGGATGAGATCAGATAGATCTGAGATCAACGAAATGCAAAACCGTGGAGAAGGGAGAAAGGTAGAGAGACATACACAAGAAACAACGGCACCCATTTTGATCGATTTGTGTAGTAGATGTGTGTGTGTGTGTGTTGTTGATTAAAACTCAAAGAGTATCTCGAGATGGATGTTTGATTGTTTGATTGTTTAATTGTTTGTTGATAGAGTAAAATCGATGGATTGTATTATATGTTTGTATGATGTAGAGAGAGAGAGAGAAAGCAAAGCGAAAGGAGAAACATACGACTCTATATATATTTGATTCCCTCACCAGCTCTCCAAAACCTGCCGTCCCATCCTTTCCAATCAGATGATCCCATAGTAGCGTCATACCATCATAACAGTACCTCTCCCCCTCCCTAGTCACAAAATAAAATCCGGTCCAAGACCTGTCAAATATGAGGTCAAACCGGTACCATCCTTTGCCCAGTACCTTGCCCGGGAATTAAAAAATTGTCCTCCAAATGATATCCAAAGTGACGTCATCAACGGAAATTTTGTCGCATCAGATTTTCTTTCTTCACTCTTTCTCTCACACTTATTTATTACCCATACCAAACCTAGTTATTTTCCTGCCTGATCCCTTGCTTCTTTAGTTCCTCATCTTACCCAAAGAAGAATAACTCATTTCATCCTCTCCTGTTCATTAGATCCAATCGAGTCGGAAGGAATCACATACCAACGTCCTCGCATTTTTCTTAGCTTTTAGACTCAAATCAAAAAATCAAGGCATGGTGTATGAACAAGTCTCCGTTTTAGGTATGCCACGCCGCTGATGACGGGGATGAGTTCCCGTGATAGGGCCTAGAGTGGTAATTGTGGCTCGTCTGAGGAAACTAGTCATGTCAGCCACTGTGGCGTTGGTTTTTGTTGATGTCACTAGCTAGGTAGCCACATGAGCGGATGCTTTTTAGAGTTTTTTTTAAGTTTTAGGGGATGTTACTGGAGGGGGAATATAAGAGGAGATTGTACGACGTAGATCTGATATTGAACTTTGGTGTATGATTTTTCTTATCTGACTCGGGTTTTATGAGATGATGCTGCAATGGAATGTGAATAAAGGAAGGATGGGATGGATGGGTGGATGGGTGGATGGATGGATGGATGGATGATTGGTTGGTTGAATATTATCGAGATGAATGGTCCTTTCTCTGTTTGTTTCTTAATTGACTATCCTATGATGACGTAGTTCCCCAGACCAAGACCAGACCAGACCAGGTCAGACTTATAACTTGTCAATTAAAGAATTGACCAGATGAACCCATCAATGCCATCAATGCCATCAAGGCCACACCTGATTTCTTCTCAACTCACACTTCATATTACATTCTCTGGGATCTACACCATAGTGACCACACAATTTCGTTTTCGTGAATCAAAACTACACGCATCTATTATGCGTAGACTTCTTCTAGCAAGAATAAATGCATACTCGATGCACAAGAATCCATATCCATCCATTTCACCCACGATAGCACAACCCAACTCCCGATCCCCAACACCAACAACACCCATCCATGTACCATATTTCAGGATACCAATGTCATACTACATGCATTCCTACATTGCTACATTCATACATACGTAATACATAATCCATGTAACCGTGACAATCTACAGATATTTTAAATGGGAGAACAACATTCTAACAGGTGGAGAGCCGAACCAAAAGATAACGTCTAGTTCATCGTGTTGGTGCTTCCATTCGAATTGAGACATGCTGGGAATTCACTTTGTACAAAGCTTGGGTTTCGAAGCGCTGGTGGCCTGATATGATATTCATGATGGATTTGATAGTATTTAATGATGCATATTTATAATCTAGATTGTGTATGGGGTGCGGAAACATTCGTTGATTATAGTATCTAATTAGCTACTCGGCTTCTATGTGTTGCGCCAAAACTCATAGCCATGCATGCTTGCGATGGACGAGAGGATCATATACGAAAACATGTCATTTTCTAAATACATCGAAACAGATGATTTATTTGAACGAATCCAATGCCACATCATTCGAGTACACTTTTGTTAAAGAATCGATGAATCTGCCTTCCAGCCTCCTTCCCAACCACCGGCTCTAATTCCTCCAAATCGGCATTAGCAACCTCCTTAACACTCCCCAACTCCATCACGAGGTTACCCAGATTCTTCCCTGTAACTCCAGGCACCACTCTTAACATGTCCTGAGGCTCCCGATTAAACACTTGATCCTCCGCACTTGCACCACCTTCAAGTCCAATCTTCACAGCTTGTATAGGATCTGGTTCGGGTTCTTGTGTT